GTGGCTATGTTCATCGGACAATGACTCCAACATCTGAAAGCCCTTGGCCAATTGCTCTTCTGTGGCAGTATCGAGCTTGATACAAGCAAACAGCAAAGGGTCGACCAAAAGGCGGACAGAGCGGTTGGTGCATCGAAGGGTTTTTAGGCTACCATTTGCCTTCGCCTAAGGACGTATGTAGTTGCAGTGACAGAGGAAGCAAGAAACGTACCTCTTTAACGATCATTAGTCGCAACTCTGTTGCCAGTGAATCCATTTGGGCAAAGGACTATGAGGGCAATCTATGATTGGACTCGACTGTCGTTGTCCTTTATAAAGCTATATACAAACGGCCCGGGGTCTCCATGGCACGGGGGCATAGCCGTATAATGATGCAGGAACGCATTAAATATTGGATTGCTATCAGGAATGAAACAACTTCCTGAATTATGTGGTAACCACGTAGTCTCGAGAAGCTATTCAAACCAGTGAACAGGTAATACAATGGTATCTCCTGGTGCCTCCTTCGACCTCCTTTGAGACGAAAACCTGGTTTGCTGCATTCACCTGGAAATCGCCATTGAAACCTCTGGGAACAGGGAAACTACAGATGGCGTCTGCCATGAGCTTCCTCATGTATTCTGAGTGTCGTATGAGGCCGGCCCCACGGAGTAAGTTCCAGGAATATCTTCTGTCTGCCACAGAACACAATGACACAGAAGACATCCTTGGTAGCCTCTCATGGACAAAATCTAGGTATCGGGTCTTTTCAAATTGTTTAGGGCGAATTAAAATGGAAGAAAAGCCGCCTACCAATGCTTTTGAGAAGTTTCGTTGGTTGAGGCTTACACGAAGTTCACGCAAGTGAACGCATCGACCGTATTCCTGCACATTATGGCCTCCGAATGACCAGAGTCCGCTGTATGCTCCAGTGACCTCAGATATTTCTAGCGTCTCGCTGTGCTTCGGCAAAATAGTTCCTGCAAAGTAAGTTGCATGGTCGTTTGACTCTTCTTCCGTGGTCGCATCGATGTTTAGAAGCCCCAACCTGGTCAACCCTGAGCAGGAGGCCAGGTATTCCAAGCAAGAACTCTCGATTTTGCCCTGTATCACCACCTCCCGAAGTTTGATACCACCCATAGCAGTCCATAGCGAGGCCGGAGATAGTGAGCGTTCATTAGCCACTACCCTGCTCTTTCGTCAGACATGTTCGGCAGCAACACTTTCCCAGCTCACCGCAAAGACGTTATTTTTGTGAGAGCTCGGATAGCAGCGGGAAGGCAGTTGTCCAGTCGCTCCTGAGTCTTCTTCATCCTATCTATCTTTGCTTGTTCAGCTTCTATGTCTTCTACCACGCCGCAACGGAATCCTGGATAGTGTAGAGGCGGAAACATGTTATCTTTGCATTGTATGACCAATGTCCGGACGTGATGAGAGACCCTGCTTTTATCAATGGCCAGAGATTCCAATATTCTGAAGCCTCTCTCCAGGTCTTCGCCGCTATCAAATCTGATGGATGCAAACAAGAGTGGTTCAACCAGCGAACAGAAGGACCGATTGACACATCGGAGCGCTTTGAGATCACCAAACTTGGCCGCCTGGTGAGGGAGCAGCGTTCATGATCGTGAATACTGCATAGACAAAGCAATTTACCTCTTCGACCACCTGCATACGAAGTTCTGTCGCTAGTGAGTTCATTTCGTGTCGAGAGAGGTCATCATGGGATTCCCGTTATAACATATCCTCGTCTCCATGCATACCCGCTGACTGATGGGTTGCCGTTCTCGGGAACGGGTTCACACAGAAGGGAGAAGGAAAATGCTGTTTCCCAACTGATTAACCTTGGGTATCCTACTGACATGAGGACCGTGATCCAAGAACAGACTACCAAGCACGCACAAGAGTGATATAAACGCAGCGCACGGGGATCAGAAATGCACCACTTTCTTCTTTGACATGTTAGATGGGTTCCCGACCGGTTGCACCGTACCAGACTGTGCCCCGACCCTAACATCCATCGAACGCTGAACCTTTTCTACTCGTCTGTCTTCCCGATCTAATTCCTGTCTTCGACGGCCGATGATGTGAAAGTCATCTTCATCTGGACCAATATCTTGTTCAATTCCCACAATCGTTGAAAGCACATTGTTGTCTGGTCGAGTGATGAGTAAATGGTATAGAAGCAAAGGGCTTCAACGCACCCTTCTTTCTCAGGTCACAATCTTTTGCGAGGTGTGACTTCTCGCCACACATTTTACAACACCCTCCGTCAGGATACACGCCTTTATCTTGGTTCTCCGGGCATTTGGACGCCAGGTGTCCGTTTCCCTTGCACACGAAACACGATGCAAATGGTAAGGGATTAAGAGGGTCTTCTGGTTTCTTGCAACGAGATAGATTGTGTCAATTAGATCCACACCTGCAACGAGTTCAAAGTCTAGAGATCAGTCAGAGATGCATCACGAGTCGCGTACCTATAACATATTCCGACATTCTTTTGGCCTCCGCCTACACTTTTTGGGCAATACTTGGCCGAATGACCCTTTTCTCGACATGCAAAACAAGTCGTTCCTGCATCACGTTCGGCAATTCTTTTGAGTCGACGTGACTCTGAGGCTAATAATCGCGCTAGAAGAAGGCTCAACGACAGAGGTTTGTGAAAGGGAATCTCCATACCATCTTTGCTCTTGTTCTTGAATTCCTTTTTCTTTTTCTTCTTGCTGCTCTTGTCACCAGTGGAAGTGCCTTCTATTTTCTCATCTCCCTCTGCTTTATCACTTTCATTAACTTTGCGTTTCTTGCCGGCTCTTTTTCTCTTCTTCTTTGGCGGAGCATCAGGGTCGGATCTACCGATTTCGCCTCGACTGGAGATGGTTCTGCCGTAGGCTGTTGAGTGTCTTCCGTTGGAGTGCTATGGGGCAAGCTGGATTCTAGGTATTTTCGTTTGCGACCGAAATTTGTGATGCGGGTCATGATGCATGATGGACGCTCGGAGTTGACAATTTTTTCGCGGGCGCCTATTCACATAAGCGGATAGGCGTCTCACCGCAGGCCCTCAAAAACATGTGCGCTTCGCACATTTTTTGATGTGAGCCTCGCTCACATTCCCACGGAAATCCTTGGGCAACAGTAGTCGCATTACAGTATTAGTATACACTGTGCATGAATCTATCTAAATATTTTTTATTTTGCTTGATACTGTATGACATCATGCTGGAATACGGCATGAGAGCGACCTGCCTTTCACACGGTTTCGGTTTACAACAACTATACCGATGCGGCTCTGCAAGACTAAACTCTTCCACCGGCCATGGGTCACTTTCCACGTCCTTGCGAGACTGCCAATATAGTGTTTGGGTTCAGGTTGAACATGAAGTGGTGACAGGCAAGGTCTGTCTAGCGCATTTGTATATCGTTGAACCATAGCTCACATGAACTTTACCAACCATCTTCCAGAAACCCATGCATACTAGTCCATATGAACTATCTAGACACCTCAATTCGCTATAACAGCTGTTTTGGATCATTCAAAAATGCAGGATTTCCCCCTTCAGTCTCACCCTCTCAGCTCGAGACGGCGTGATAGTTCGTATGAACCATAGAACCCCGGGCCATCCTTCCCAAACCATCGAGTTTATTTCCGCTATGTTGGCCAAAGTTGAAACAGATGTTTCATCCAGAAAGAACCTCGTCCCTTTCCGCACAGTCTTGCCAAACAGTTCATCCACACTAAAATCCGTCACCCACGCAAAAAACAGCCGGCAAAAGTTCGTATGAACGTTCATCGAACCATCCCCAAATCTCATTAGGGCTTCATACACTACCACATTTGTTAGTCCTTCGAGGAACTCTACATCATCGAGTCGACAGGTTCGACTGTATACGCCGGCCCACACTAACATCGATTCGCGGAAACTAAATTTCCAACACATGGTTTGAGTCGACCCATACCCACTATTGACAACAATGTTAGTTCATACGAACCCATCCTTCCAGACTATCTGCAGTGCGGATAGTGACGCTGTTTACCATTCCAACCATCAAGGTAGACACGAATCCACCGAATCCGAAAGTCATACCCATACAACGTTCATCCAAACCATCACTATCAACGTAGTGTTCCCAAACTAAACCTCCAATAGCGGAGAGCCTGGTGCATGGCTCATTCCTTTCGCACCTCAGGTGGTATGCCTGCTCAAACCATGGCGCACTCTCATACCGACCTTAGTTCATCCGAACTAAATGATGATAACCACGTTGTACAGCCTTCAAACTTCGTGGCTCTTTTGACCCATCCTTCACCAGCTATGCCCAATGTGCAGATGATCCGTTCGACTCAACCAAGCCACACCTTCCAGCTCGATGCCGCCCCATAACCACCAGTTTCTGCAATTCGTTCTGCGAATATAGCCCGTGCCAACCATCTTCAACGGTATGGTGCATTCAAACGATTCCCAGCGCCTATTCAACATCGGTTCACCTAAACCAAACCACCTGCCAGGACCTGGATAGTTCCAGCGAACGATATCCTCTTCACCATACAATGCACCCCCATCTACCACAACTATCACAAACCCCTCTGCAATGGCATATGTATCTCATGGTGTTTTCGGAGCGGCACCCAAAAACGTCACGTGATCACAAATGGGAATGCCGGTCGAGAGTCCAGAGGATGGTTCACACCACATCATCCATTGAAGACCGACAACCATGTCAAGTATGAATCAGTCTCACTCGAACTTGAGCAGTGGTCCATTCCCAGTAAGATTGGCCTGTCCAATAATTTACGCTCTTTTAACTGTCTGTTTGACGTCCATATCATGCCGAGCAAGTGTGATGGACAGTGTTGCATGCCTTTCTGGCCTGCATAAGATCTCCAGTGTCTATTGGAAGCCTGTATCTTTCATATGGATTGCCAAACAAGTTTAAAAAATACCTGTGTTGCGAAAAAGGCCCCCGCCTGCACAGAGTGTCGTACTTCCCGACTAGGGGGTTCAGACACTCTGTGTGGCGGGTTGCCACGCAGAGGGCAGGATTCGAACCTGCGTCTGCTGCGTCAGCCAAATGTTTTGGCATCGCACAGCCGTGTAACCAGCTACACCACATCTCCGCGACAGAATATGAATTTACATCAGACATATCACCAAAATGTGAGTCCTTGTGTTCCCTCAAATTCGTCTCTTCCCTCTTTTCCCCCCTTCTTATCTGATTACCGCAACATGCAGCTCACTATGGCCAACGTTAGCAACAACCTACTCGCTCATTGCATCGACAATCTGCCGGAGCTTCCATCGTAAGTCCTTTTCAATTTAACTACATGGCCATCGCCGACTCAAATCTCCATAGAACTCGCACGGACTATTATGATGTCCTTCCTATCGTCGAACAAAGACTCTCCGACCTTCTCCCCATCCTGGACCGGCTCAAAAAACTCCACGACCTAGAAGAGATGAGCGACGCTGAATACACCCTCCTCCGAGACAAGCTACGCCTTTATCGTCATGCCCTTCACCAGCGAATTGCCCCGATCCGTCGATGTCCACCAGAGATATTGGCTCGAATCATACGCGACGTTTACCCAGAGGTTCGCATTGATGATTTTCCTCCTTTCAAAGGAAAAGGGATCCCGCGTGTTCACTGTCCCCAGCTCACCCGAATTGCGGTCGTCTCTCCACAATTTCACGCTGCCGTTCATGGAAATCGGTCTCTCTTCACCACTGTTCGATTCCGGCGGCACTACCAGTGTACCACCCACTACCCGAACACAGCAAAAGCAATACAGGGGCTCATACAGATCACGGACGATGTCCCTCTTCATCTTACCGTCGAATACCTTGGGTCTCTTCATCCAGAGCCACTTCCTCCACAAACTCTCTCCACTTGCGCCTCCATGAGCTTGTTTACTACCAAGCCTTGGAAGAGTTTTACAATATGGGCTGAGAGCAGCGTTGCTGCTCTCGTCTTACAGGATCGTACCATGGCTATCAAACTCACCAGCCAATTCATGACAACAATTCGAATCTCGATCACCCGGTCACTCACCAACTTGCTTGGTGCTATTGCAGCTTTTCACATTCCCCTTGACACTCTAACTATCGAAGCCACGCATGATTCATGGCAAGAACCCAACATGAATCATACACATCTCCTTCCCGCCACCGTCAGACATGTCAATGTGACCGGGAGCAGCAGGACCGTGCTAACTGTGTTCCGCAGTGCCGTTCAGGTTCCCTCCATCAATGTCGCGTTGAAAAATGGTCGGCGTGCCGATTCCAGCACATACAATGCACCTGGTAATTACGCGACTACCAATGCAACCTTAAAACTTCCTATCGTCATGACATCGCTCACTGTTCTCGATGTTATAACCCGAGATTACACCAACTCCAACCTGGCGGATCTGTTCCGATGGATAAGAGCGCCATCACTCGCCGAACTACGGATCGAATGGGCAGATGGGATCAATTATGTTGATAGCATCTGCGTGTTCCGGCTCAACACGTTTATCGAGGAGACAGCCCTTCGTCGCCTCTTTCTATTCCGACTCCCTGCCAGGTTCCGTTATGCAACTCCTCCCAAAATTCGTGCTCCCCCTGGCTGTATTGTGGAGCAGACCTGTGTCGGTCCAGCAGAAGATGAAGAGGAATCCGATCCTGCCGAGTATTCATGTGATCAGTGGGACACATGGTCTCGCACCACATGTGAAAACGACTGCGAGGTTGAGTGTACCTGTCGATTACCAATACCAGCTCCGTATGTTCACTCCGTCTTCCTCAAATTTCCCTGTTCTCACTGTGATCTCCAGGTCCACACCACCGGAGCCTACTGGTTTTGTAGTCTGGGTCGGTGAGTAAGTATATCATTGGTTGTAAAGGGTGCATGCTTTTTTTTTCTTCGATAAATACACTACGCTGTCTATTTCGTTTATGACAAGTTTATACAACCAATCCTTTTTGGAATGCTCTAGCAATACCATGAGATATAATAGCTTGTCTCGAAGAAAGAGAACGCACCGTGAAAATAGCACCTGAATTTGTTCTGCCTCCTCATATCCTGCTCTCAAGTTGTGAGGAACCATCGTTTCCGGGTCATACTTCACCACAAGCAAAGGCCCCAAGAAGATCTCCTCTGCCATTGTCCTCACGTACCAATGTGCGTTCCCGTCTACGTTCTCATCCAAGTAGTGGCACGACTGAGGATAGAAATAAGCCCGATACTGGCGTTTCTGTGCTTTTGCCTCCTCTACATCCAACAAATCCAGTACCTTTGGCTTGACGGAATCGTATTGCGTGAACCACCACGTCGTGACCACATCTTCAACATGACGATCGTAGGGTGCCTTTTTGGAGGAGTTGTATAGCGGAACATGGACTGGCAAAAGGTCGCTACATGCACGACCCAAGTAGAGTCCTCTGACAGACGATGGCCAACCCTTGGTTTTTTTTAACACGATAAAACGCTACAGTCCAGACAGCACTCACCAATGCGGGATGCTCTTGCAAGTAGTCAAGATATACCGTGAGGGCCTCAACGACTGGCCCTGTAGAAGGACAATCAAGCAGCCCAGGTGGCATTGGAGTGACGGAGTTGTAGCGATGTTGAATGTAGACGTTGCAAAGAGTCTGAAATCTTTCCGGGGTCTACCGAGCCCAGGACATGCTGGTATCTTTAGTTCATTTGAACTAAACTGCGATAGAACATACAATAAATGGACAGAATGACATTGAGATTCCACTACGCAAAGTTCAAACATCTAAAGTACTAGATCTATATCTATTCCTCCTCTGATTCTGACACTTCATCTTCCTCATCAGCCGCTTCCAGGACACGCTGTGCTTGAAGACGCTTTGCGTAGGTCTTGGGCCGATGGACCCATTTACCGTCAACTGCCACCATCGAGTATATGTCGTTGATGTCGAGCTTGGTTTCCGACCGATACACGCCCAAGAGAAATGCTCGCTGCCGTGGTTTCAGAAGATCTCTGCCAAAGTGGTCAATCATCTTCATCACCGGTGAAGTAAAGCGACCCGTCTTCCACAGATAGAACTCGAGCAGCACATCCTCAATATAGCAGCCACAATCCATCGCACGAGGATCGCGCCCTGGGAAACGTTTCCAGCCTGGTACCACCCAACCCCTCGGTGAAGTTGATGAGAGGCTTTGAACAAACCTCTTCGCCGCTGCCTTTCCTGGTTTCTGACCTTTGTCCAGTGCTTGCCAGTCCAACCGGTGGATTGCATCCCACGGACGGCCAAATAGTAAGCCTTCCTCGCCATCTCGTAAATCACGTTCCCGAACAGACTTCTTCGTCCGGGTGTGATAGCGGCAAAGGAGGGTGCCTTGGCCAGAGACCATGCAAGCCAGAGCTACCTCACGGCTCGTAGTGGCGGCCTCTGGGAAAAGTGTCGGAGAGTAATACACCCAGCCCCTAATACCATATGGTGGTGGTTTAAAGTCTGCTGGGCCCTCTCCTCGCTTTATCTCCTTCAACCATTGGTAGAACGACTCTGAAGGCGTGTTAGTTTTGCTTGACACTGGAGAGCTAGTTGGCCCACAAACTTTTTATCACAGACAGCACTGGAGTATCTGTCCCAAGAGTGGTCTTCAGTTTAGCACATGAATAACAGAAGAAAACTTACCTGCGTCACCATCCGCTAATTCCTCCGGCAACGTGACATCATCCTCAGCCTCCTTGTGCTGTTCATCGGATTCATCTTCCGATGCGACTTTGTATTGTTTGCTTGACGAGGCTCGAGGTTGACTCTTTGTGGCTAATGGCTCAATCAGCTACAGTCCGACATCCAAACAAGGTACTCAAACTTACTGTTTGCCGCTGCCGTTTTTCTCTTTCCTGCCGCCTTATTGTACTTGTTGCCTGTCTCCAATGGTTTGTCATCGTCGTCGTCGTCGTCGTCGTCGTCGTCTGTCTCAATTACGTGCACCTTTCTTGTCACTGCCTTGCCATGCTTGTGGCTTGGCTCCGTAGGACTCTCGTCGTCAGTGGCAGCATCGATATCTAGCAACTCGTATCAATCCAAATTCTCTGCATCATGAGTTTGCATACCTTTAGATTTCGCACCACCCTCATGGTGCCTCTTTTTCTTTCGCTTATCCTTCTTTTTGGCTGGAGAGTGAACCGCCACCACGTCATCCGATCTAAGTGCATCTGCGTCAAGATTAGTATCATTGACATGATGCCAACGTGTCCAAAGCACCCACCTTCTTTGTCGCTCTCCTCACGCATTGCCTTCTTCTCCTTCTGCTTTTCCTTCTTCTCCTTCTTTCTCTTCTTCCGCGCTTCTTCCTCTCTCTCCCTCATTTCCTTCTGCTCTTTCTCCTTTCTCTTCCGCTCCTTCTTCTCCTTCTTTTTCTCCAGCTTCCTTTCCAGCTTGAGCTGTTGCTTCAGCTCCTTCTTCTCCTTCTTCTCCCTCTTTCTATCCTTTGAGCGTTTGGAGCTCAGTTCCTCGTCGCTATCAGAATCAATCTGTTGGCCTAAGTGTGTTTTACTCAGCTCCGATAACGTAAACAGTCTCGAGAAGACTTACTCAAAGTCGCTTTGCCCTTCTCCTTGGCCAGTTTTCCTTTCTCACGTGTACCAGCATCCCAGTCTTCTCCGGGTGGAAACAGCTCTGTTGCGTTGGTGTTCAGTGACACTCTAATATATCAGAAGAGACTTTGTACCTTCTGCCACAGATCTGCGCTGTTGGTCATTTGACTTCGTCATTTCATCTTCAATCCGTTCTGTGTCAAGAATGTTGAGGAAGGTTTCATAATTTCACCAGTCGGAACCTACCTTGATGCGCCACGTCAGGGTCAGCATGGCCTGGTCCATTGTCATCATCATCGTCATCGGACATCGACCGATCTGTGCAAAATTTCAGTCGCCACACATGCACTAACTCCTTCACAACGTACCGTCATCCAGATCCATGAATCCACCATGGCTATTGCTTGGTGGACATTGCATGTCCATTGTCGAGGTGTTCTTCACCCCCACTTCCACATTGATCTTGTTCTTCGTTGGTGCCGGGTCATCTGGTGCTATATTCAGTTAAATATATATAAAATCAATGTTGTCCACTGCACTATACCTTCATCATCGTCAGACAATA